TAAAGCCAGTCTGAATCCATGCTGCTTGTCCTTCACACAGCTCATCAGCAGATAATGAAATGTCTCTTGTGTGATGGGTTGTCCATTTTGAAGCATCTCCTATACATGCATTTACACAAACCAAATTATGTTACTGTGTCGTTGGTGCAAAAAGAATAAAAAAAATAATAAATCATCACATCACTGGGTATTTTGACATTAGTTAATACCCGCAGAATTTGAAAGCACGACTTCAGATCTCCAGCAAGAGCAACTGTTTTGAGCAAAGCATGCTGGGTAATGGCTCTGAGAGGGATGTTCTTCTTGAGAAGCTCTTGCTTGAGCTTCAATGCCTGTTCCAGACCTGACTGTTTCCATGGTGACTCCGCACAAGCGTTGAATAGAGCAGTGTATGTAGCATCGGATGGCTCGATTCCTCGCTTCTTCATCTGAGTGATAATATTCAAACAGGGTTAATCAAAGATCAAGTGTGTCATTCGTGCGTCATTAGCAGCACCTAATATAAATAATGACATGTGGAAATGCATTGTCATCTTACATTATTGTAGAGTTGGAAGGCTTTCTTTAGGTAGCCGACACGTCCACATCCGCCGATGAGCACAGTGTAATTGTACTCCTCAGGTTGTAACCTCTCAGCTTTAAGCATATCAGCCTCAAAGAGAACCAATGCCTTGGCCAGCTACACGCACACGATAGATAAATAAATAAATAAATTAATTAAAATGTGAATTGTTTATATGGAACAGAGACACATATTTCGATATACACTTGCATTTATATGACACTTGTATACAAAAAAATGGTAATTGCACAACAGAGTACTTATTACTAAAATATACTTTTGTGCATACTTAAGTGTGTACAGTATATACTTAAGCGTAAACTAAATATATGATTTTTTTTGACAATAGCATGTTCACTGAAATTAAGTGAAAATTTATTCTAGTTTAAATGTATTTTAAATGCAATTAGATTAACATAAATGAGTTTTTTTCATCCCACTTAAGTAGGACTTAAGTGCATATGTAATTACATATGTTTATATATGTAATTTATCTTTGAAATGTGGTTAAAGTGTACTGCCAAATGTAATGAGAGGCACTTATAGTAAACTAAAATGTATTTGTATTGAAATGTGTACATGTATTTTATTATATTTGTAATTATTCATTTGTAAATTGTAATGACAAAGTAGTGGTTTAGTAAAATATATTAACTTTAAATGTAACATTGAACAACACACTACAGTTAAATGATAACATTAGTATGTTAGTCAGCACATCAAAATAAGTGTACTTTAAATCTCAACGAAAGATTATTAAAACAATTATTTTAAACATACTTCAAATTAAAACTTGTAATTTGACATTACTGCAAAGTGAAACAAACTTTTTAAGTGTACTTAATTGTTTTAAGAAACAGTGATACAAGTGTTGTCTCGCTTGAAGTGCATTTAAGTGGCCTTTTAATTAATATTCTTTTATAAGCAAATACAGTTTTAATATACCTTTAAGACGGAAGTACACTGAATACAATAAGTGCACTGCTTTTTTTCACAAGGGATATAAGTCTGATACCATCACTGCAACAGTAAATAAATATAAATGTTATTAAATCAGATATTTTTGACAACGTACTTTGTCCTCTTTGATGAGCCGTTTGCACTGGAGGAAATACCAGTATGTCGTATTTTTCCGACCCTTTTTGGACTTGAACTTTTCCACCAGCTGCGCATCATCTTCATCCGCATCTCTGTATTTCAGATCCAGCTGCTCTGGGGATGTTTTGCGGAAGGTTCGTCTGGAGGAAAACTTTCTGGAATAATCACCAAACACATTACGTGTATCTTCCTCGTGCACATGCTCAGATGCGTTTGTCTTGGTATTGCTGCTATCAGTCCACCTTGAAGGTGTTAAAGTAGCTGATTCACTAAAGTATCTCAAGGGTCCTTGATGCAGCTCTGAAGGACAGACAGCTGATCTGCGCGCATTTGAGGATGCGGCAGCACACTTTATAGCATTAACACTGAAGTTCCGTATGAAAATACCTCTCAGAAGTGCAGAACGCAACATTATTGCAATCAATCTTGAGTTAAAAATGAATTAGTACATTCATATCACCCTTT